GAAAACGAAATAAACTAAACTCAGATGATTCTATCTGTGTGTCAGATGAAAATACAAAACATTTCTATTTCGTATGTATGTACGTTAGACTGCATCACCAAAAAAAGTTGCGGTTTTCCGCCGGGATTACAAAATCTATTATATTTTAAGACGTTCACCAAAATATTTGGGAAAAATATTAAGATTTAAGTGAGCTGGACCGATTTGAAAGAACTTTTTGAAAAAAGTCCCCTCAGATGACAAATTAGATTAAGCTTAAAAAATCTGCATAAAAATATTTAAAAATCTTTTGAACGGAATCGTAAGAATGAGATTTTTGATGCTGTTTTTTCCGTTTTTCAAAGATTGATTTACGAAGAACTTGAATAACTGGCCTAAAACTATTCTGATTTAGACTTATGGGATCTCAGTAGAAAGGTATTTTCACACTGTTTTTATTTCTGTAAAAAAATCATTCGTGCCCCAATTTTTTTTTTTCAAATACCAACACATCTTAATTCATCTTTGAATGACGTTCGTTCATCCTACCTTTCTCTTTCATCCTTTGAATGAGTTTATTAGCAAAGAAATAAAACGGGTGAGAAAATACCTTTCCACCGACAGCTCTTATTTTTATGCAAATTTTTCAAGCTTAACCCGTTTTGTCATTTGAGGCGATTTTTTAAAAAAAAAATTTTAAGAAACCATTTTTATTCAGAAAAAACTCCAGATTTGGAGGTATTTTGAAATTGGTAAAGCTCACTTAAACCTTAATATTTTTTCGAAATATTTTGGTGGACGTCTTAAAATATAATAGATTTTATAATTCCAATGGAATGGAATTTTTTTTTGTATGGGGAGTGATGCAGTCTAATGTACGTGCATCTGCTTTGTACAGAAACAAATTTAATTTGTATTTACGCGATATGTTGACATTTCCATATGTAAAAAGTGGCATGTGCACATGCAAATACATATCGTGTAAGAGCACCTTAAGCGTCGATTACAAGCATTTAAATATGTTTCAATAATAGTATGCATAGATTTTGACGTCACGGCCAGTTGCTCTCAGCTCGATTGGCGCAATCTTGTATTCTATCATTCTTGTATGCATAGTGAATGGCAAAGCGCACAGACCCGTTAGTAATCGATGATTTGCTCTTCGCTTCGCTATTTTTGGGTTAAGAAACGCTTACCAGCGTGAACCAATTATACAAATCTGACCGGTTGACGAGCTGCCATTTGCAGTTGCATTTGAGGAAAAAGTATGTGCCGTTCGTAATTTTGAAGTTTGCTGCTGTTTTTTTTTACATCTCTTTCTTTATACTATGTGGTTTCTTTCAGTGATTTTTAACTGATCTTCAATAAATTTTTTATTCAAATATAATTCAAATGAAGTGCGCAGTAATCGGTTACAAAAAACACGTACGAAACTAACAAATCGTTAGCACTAACATTCGCTCAAAAATTACTTTAGGTTTTTCTTTATGCTTCGTCTTCATATTCTTTGCCTACTTTTGGTTCGTTCCAAAGAAAATAACCTGGCGCCGAAATTACAAACCGTCTGTCAGAAAATTTATTCTTTCTTCTTTTGCTTCATCTTGTCAGATCTTGTGTAGTTGGTTCATGGCTTTCCAACAGCAAGTAGTGATTATTATCTCTATGTCAAAACGACAAGATGTAGAGAACAAAGGTGGCGCTGTCGCATGTAAGCTATTTTTTATGCTCTTAAATAGTTTCTAATAAACTATGGAAGGTGGAGTTGTAAATAAGTTGAAATAATAAAACTTGTATTAATTGATACATTCGTATATTTATTGGTGTTTATTGACTTATAATTAGATTATTAATTTTATATAACTTTACATACATATATCTCGTCAAAGGATCTTGCTGCAAATATAAATTTGACTTTGGCTATAATAAGCAATAAGTTGTTTTATTTATGGTTTTAGAAGAAGTTTGAGTAAAAAATTGTCCGATTGCCTTTTTTAAAATGCTAACTATATTTAAATTAGTATACGTAAGAAACAATATTAAATCTTACAAATAGTATAACTAGAACGTAAAAACAACTCAACTGAATAGCTTTACTCTATTTTTAGCGCCGATAATGAATACATTAGTCAAATTGGCAATGCGTATTTTTAAGTATTGTTCACTATTTCCATTAAAACACATATATATTGCAAATTCACATAGAATTATGTAATAATACCCATTTTCTGCTATTATGATTCTCGTTGTCAACTAATCAACCTTCCCACACTGTTGGTGACATCATGACTGGCTCAACTGACTGGCTCAACTGACTGCCCTTCTATTCTAGAAAATATTGCATTTAATATTGCCTCTGGAATCATCTGCCATTGGAATTTCTTTAAAATAGGTTTCTTAGAAGCAGTTATGGTGCCAAAGCTCTGATTTCCAGAACCTGTGCTGAACTTAACTTAGTCTTCAATGCTTTAGATATTGATTTTACACAATCAAGCCCTACCTTACTAGTGATTTATGTTATCTTAGCTCTTTTGAACTTTTAACATTTGTCTTAATTTTTAAGTTTTAGTAGCATACTTTACGCTGCACTGCATAGCATGTAATTTTTACGTAGAAATAAAAAACCAACAGACTTCATATAAGTACATCACACGATTGAGAGAATACAAAGGTTGCGCCGATCTCGGACCGCTATTCCTCTCTTAACGAATTTGACAGAATCGTTGTTTGCATGACGTCACACTGGTGCAACTTGTTTACGTTTTCCTTGCAACATTTTTTCTTCTTCTTCCATTCTTGATCACTTTCTTTATTAAATTTATGATTGGTGAAAGTAATATACATCAACACCAAAGTTATCAATGTCTATCAGAAAATGATTCTCTATCAGAAAATGATAGATCATTTCTAAAAAAAGCATCTTATTCTGCCGCTTTGGCTTTTTATTTAGAATTTCTAGAAAATTGTTAGGTATGCAGTTTTATAGCCCATTAAAATTTAGAAGCTCAAAGTGCAAATTTCAAGTGATAGGAAATCGCGTTGATTTTTAATGATTGGAAATTTCTTTTATATGGAAGAAAATGCCTAGCACCGTCAGCAAAAAAAAGATAAACAGTAAATAAACAAAAATATAAATAGACAAAACTGGTCAAAATGTCACTTAACTTAATCAGCTGACCATAAGTGCATATAACATATTTATAAATTTATTTATTTGAATCTACCACATTGTTTTGGAATGTACCACAATTTTTCATGCTTATTTATCACTAAGAAAATTTTTTTTTCCGAACACTCTCAACAGCAACTGATCTGGGGGGCTACTCTGTAATGCGATGCGAAAGAGAAATCCGATGCGATAGGCAAATACGTCGTAAGTAATACACTGTGGCGATTTCCTATCGTATCGCATTTCTCTTTCGCATCGTATTACAGAGTAGCACCCCTCATGAACCAACGACTACAGATCACCTAATCAGCCATCGTTGTATTTGTAATCGATTTTCAGAAAAAAGTTTTCGTAGCGTTTTTGACGTTTTTCGGTTTTGTTTACACCGTCTTCTACCTCTTCGTAGTGATTTTTTAGCGGTTGAATGTGGTTCGTCAGCGATTTTAATTATAAATTTTGGTTTATTACATATTTATGATATAAAATAAAGTGCTGTGTGATCGGAACAAGTTTGTGCGTATGTTTGGTTTGCCAAAAGGCGTAAATTTGCGTGAAAAGTGGGTGCACGTTTGTGGCCAGAACGTTGGCATTGAAAAATCGACCCGTGGTAATGATATGCGTTTGTAAAACACTTTCAATCATGAAAACCATATTTTATGAACTTTTTTTGCTAATTGTCATCAAGTTTCACTTTGTATATTTTATAATAAATACCAATTTAATCGCGCCCAATCACCGCGCCTTTTTCGTTTTCTTTGTTTGTTTTCATTCTTAAGCTTAGTATCCAGCTCTTAAGAAAAGCAAAAACTCCATATAAAATGACGTACAAGAAATGGCTAAGAAATTTTCTTGAGTCAAATTTCCTTAAGGCAGTACGCAGTTCTTCAGAAATTTAGTACGCTTTCTACTACGGTTTTCTAAAGTTTTTTGTGAAAAAAGAGCACAAGGCAACCCAGGTTTGCAACAGAAATATATGCCCGCTCCATTATTTCTTGAGGAAAGAGTGAGGCAACAGGCTGTGAGGTATAAAAAATGTCAAAATTCCTTGGACACACACGCGAAATAATGGCAATTTTTTCTTGACCGTTTTCTTAAGAGCTGGATACTAAGCTTTAGGCAGATGTCAAAAACACTCAGAAATATACTTTTTTCTTGCTTCTTTGATTAGGTGATCTTGTATTTTTGGTTCATGAGCACCCCTGATCTGCTTTGCCGAAATACCAGCGAAGCATCAGTCAATCGTCAATTATCGTAAGACGCACGAAGACGATGATAGTATACATGTGTCGACGTCACAGCAAGCAGCATTTTGATGCCCAATTACATGTGTTTGGAAAATCAAAAAATGCCCGCCACTGATGTACATACATATGTAATGCTGTGCGTTGGATAACTGCTTACACGCAAAGCTTATTTAACAGATTCCTTATGTGACAACCCTCATGCAATGCCAAGTATGCATAGCTGATCCATTAATTAGTGTTAGCTATTTAGTCTGTAAGAATAATTTGTATTCCAAGACTGAAATAAATAAATAAATTGTATATGTATGTATCTTGCATACTATATCCATTACTTTTCTACTACCGTTTTTGCAAAGGGCATTTATTTGAAGAAACATCATCAATATTTCAAAAACGAATTAATTAAATACATTACATACATTTGAAGGAAATGCATGCTAACAAACAAACTGTTAAGACAGCAAGTGCCCAGTATATTTAAAGATGTTAAGACGCCACGAATGGAAGGTAGAGTTGGCGCGTTAGGTGGTGTTGTTTCATCAGCTGTGAATAGCGTGTGTGAATTCGCTTTGAATCTGTCTATTAATTCGCCTTGGTTACCACCTTCTATAAATTCGCCTTGGCGTTAAGGTTTTTTGTTGTACACAGCAAAGCAAAGTCGGCAAGATTTGATAAGGAGTAATTTTGCATTATCTTAGCAGTATCATGTATAGAAAGTTGATTTATTTACATTTCAAAATGCGGGTATTGTACCCTAGCTACAGGTGAGAAGAAGGGGTGCCATTTTGTTCTTGCTACTAACAGAATTTAATAAATTTCTTAGCGTATACTTCCAGTTACATATGCCAAATGTGCGCCAATCAAGTACATCTACGGCTGCTATATATACCGAAAAAAGAGTTCCAGCGAATTTCTCAGAAATCCCAATAGATCGTATTCGAAATTTCAGTATAATTGCGCACGTTGATCATGGAAAAAGTACTTTAGCAGACCGCATATTAGAATTGACTGGGGCTATACCACGGAATTCAGGAGCTCAGTTTTTGGACAGCTTGCAAGTAGAACGTGAACGTGGTATTACGGTAAAAGCGCAAACGGCTTCAATAATCCACACATATAAAAATCAACAATATCTATTAAATCTTATTGATACGCCTGGCCATGTAGATTTCTCCAATGAGGTTAGTCTCACTAATTGTAAATATACAAGTTTAAATTTTTCATTATATAATTTCTATAATATGCTTTAGGTTTCAAGATCCTTGGCTGCATGTGATGGTGTTGTTATGTTGGTTGATGCTTGCCATGGTGTTCAAGCCCAGACTGTGGCCAATTACCAATTAGCTAAGATGCGAAATTTGGCTATAATACCGGTACTGAACAAAATAGATATTAAACATGCAAATCCTGATCGTGTTCGAAAAGATTTACACAGTTTGTTTGGAATTGATCCTAACACTGTTTTGAAGGTAACAAATAAGGGTTGTTGTTAGTAAAAAAAATAAAATTTTTAGTGTTGAAGGTTTCCGCCAAAATGGGGGTCAATATAACCACAGTCCTCGACAGCGTCATAGAAAAAATTCCACCACCTCTTGTGGATCGCAGCTCTCCATTTAGAGCTTTGATATTTGACAGTTGGTTTGATAAATACCGAGGTGCTTTGAATTTAATTTATATACTAAATGGTACTCTAAAAGTTGGACAAGAGATTCAGTCCATGGCTACAAAAAAGTCATATTCTGTTAAAGGTATAACTATTTTGTGTCCGAACGAGTCGCAAGTTGAAAGCATGTGAGTAAATAATAATATATGTAGTTACATTTTGTATTATAGTAATTACATTTATCTAATTTGCAGCTCAGCAGGTCAGGTGGGCCTACTCGCGTGTAACATGCGAAATAGCAAAGAATCAATTATTGGCGACACAATTCATAGAAAAAACGAGAATGTTATTCCAGCTGTTAGCTTCAAGCGACAACAACCAATGGTGTACGCAGGTGTTTATCCCGCGGACCAGTCAAAGCATTTAGCTTTGCGCAGTGCTATTGAAAAACTGGTTTTAAACGATTCGGCGGTCACAGTAAAAGTAGACTCAAGTCCAGCTTTGGGCCAAGGTTGGCGTTTAGGCTTTCTTGGTTTACTACATATGGAAGTATTCTGCCAGCGATTGGAACAAGAGTATGGTGCGGATCCAGTAATTACCGCGCCATCCGTAACATATCGCATTGTTTTCAAGAACCCAAAAATTATAAAGCAAATGGGAAAGGACACATTAGAACTTTCCAACGCAGCCCTTTTCCCAGAGCCTTTCAATGTCAAGGAATACTATGAACCACTAGTGAAAGGTTGTAGTTGTCAGAAAAAAAGTATGAAAAACCAATAACTCATACACATTTTTTAAGTAGGTACAATAATTACGCCCACAGAATATATGGGTCAAATAATAAGCTTGTGTGTTGATCGTCGCGGGATACAGGAGTCTTCAATCAATATAGACGATGAACGTATTTTAATGAAGTACATTTTACCGCTCAGTGAAATAATACTTGACTTTAATGATCATTTGAAGTCAATTAGCTCCGGCTATGCTAGCTTTAATTATGAAGATTACGGATACCATCTTACAAATATCGTACGACTAGATATTCATCTTAATGGTCGTCCAGTAGAAGAATTGTGCCGTATCGTGCATGTCTCAAAGGCAAGTACTATAGCTCGCGAAATGGTAACCAAATTACAAGAACTAATACCAAGGCAAATGGTACAAATAGCCATACAAGCTTGTGTGGGTGGAAAAGTGCTGGCGCGTGAAACTATAAAAGCTTATAGAAAAGACGTAACAGCCAAATTGGTATGTATTTTAAAAAGATTCCCATATTCATATTTAGAATATTTATGTTTTATTACATTACAGTATGGAGGTGACGTTACCCGTCGTATGAAGCTTCTAAAACAACAAGCAGAAGGAAAAAAGAAAATGCGTATGTTCGCCAATATCCGTGTGCCACATGAAACTTTCATAAACGTATTGAAGCGGTAGTACGAGTAAATATGATGGAACATATGATATAAAGGATACCGTTTATATATAGGTTAAATGTCAGTACACATTTGTATATTTTTACGATTTTTATATTTCTTACTTTATTTTTATGTCGTTGGTAATAATGAAAGGCGATAAGAAGGCGTTTATGCCACCAAGTCACACCGCAGTTTTCGTGTACTTTTTCACGCCCCGACGCCGAGTTACGGAACTTACTGCGCGGCGATGGAATTCAGCGCCCAATAAATTATGTATAAAATAAGTATGAATAACAGTACTTTTCAACAATTAAATTTTTCAAATTTGGATTAAGTTGTTCGCAAACGGTTATGCAACACTTAGACTTGACTTAACTTACTTATAAACGTAGAAACGAGTACTCTCCGTGTCACCTGTTACCTTTTCTCTTTGGTTTGATTCTCAGCACTTGTATTTGTGCACTAAAATTGTAAACGTTTAATTTGTTTGCTTTAAAAAGAGGTACAAAATTATAATTAAAATAATTGTATTTACGCGTTCAAATTGTGATTGAGAAATTCGGGAGAGTAACGTGAATATGACGTCATCGCAGATGTGGAGAGAGCAGAGAGAGATCTATCAGTATGTATGTATATGTTTTGAAGATGTAGATATATTAGATCGTTCGTTAAAAAAAAATGTTTTGCCGAGCGGAAAAAAGTGTCTTTTGGTCTAAAAATAAGCTGTGCGTTGTTTTTGAAAATTTAGAAAACCTTATGCATTCAGAGAAAAAAGTTTAACAACGTAGTTGAAAATCGTGAATTTTATAGTCATTTGCTATGTAAAATAACTCACATAATCTGAATATAAAAATAAAAAAGTAGAATATGTTTTAAGAATTTGCGAAGTTATCGCTTTTTTCAAATTGAGAAAAAAGCATTTTCAATTTTTTCGAAAACATCCGGTTCTGCTTCTCACATCGCAAAAAGCTCTCCACCAGATTAAAGGCCTTCGAAATTCCTATGAACTTGCTATACCTTATTTTGCAATTGTCAGTTTAAGAGTTATCTGCAAATTTATGGGTGAAACTTTTTCTTCTTATTTGTATTCTATATTAAAGCTTATTTAATTTCAAAGTATATAGATTGTCATCTTTTGCAAATCGATTTGAAAATAGAAATGTTTCAGCAAATTTAGTAAATGATATTGGATTCAAGCCGATTGCTAGCATTTTGAGTTTACTCTCGAAATAATTCTAATGTCAACGAGACTCAAAATAAACAAATGAAAATTTATGATTTGAAACAAGGCGAATTAATATAAGGTGATAGCAGGAGTACAAAAACAAAAATTTACATGTATTTTGTTTTTGCTTTGGCGGCATAAACTGTCAAAATCTGTAAGAGTGTGTGTAGAAATTCAAACAAAATTTTTAATTTGATATCAGAAGCCGTACGGCGAAACACATACACAAAATCAGCTGAGCTAGTAACACCACCTTATATTAATTCGTATTGATATTGTACAGCACATTTGATCGTAAAATCAATTAAAATATCATTTCCATTGGCATGATTATGTGCATTGCAATTAGAAAAAGAGGTGACAATAGATTTGTTTCATTAAGCAATAGTTTGTAATGATTTGATTGAAGCGTCAATTATTTTTGCTGATTTTTTGTCAAGATTCGATTGCGGTCTTTCATAAATTGAACACCCTGCTCAGCTGTGTTATTTACTGCGAATAAATCTCGACAAAATTCGGTAGCATCTACATACCCAACGGGACTGAAAGTTAGCTGCTCCCCAAAGGAGCAAGTATGGACCAGTACAAAAGCAAAGTAAAAAATAAATTTTTAAATTTCTAACAATGCTCAGAAATAAATATCATTTTGAGTAGTAACAAAATATTTTTTTTTTGTTAAGTTTATTTATGTACAAACATGTACATATGTATGTATTTTCGTATGTATACCACATAGAAAAGAAAAAACTATGTTTATATGTAAGTACACTTAATAAAACCATCAAATGGTTTACAAAAACGCCATTCTTTTATTAAAACAAAAATATAATGTAAAAATTAAAATTTGCATGCATCGCTTTTTAAATGCTTTAGTTTAGGGATGCACAGGAGAGGTGCACGCAGTCGACGTCGCGGGCAAACTGCGCGCACGCGAGCGTGCTAGGCGAGGTGAAGTGAGCTGTACGGAGATGGCATCGTAAAATGCGTGTATGGATGTGAACCAGGGTTGCCACTTGAGAATATTTTAAGGTACCAAAAAGCCTACCAAATCAGTTTGCAAACTACCAAAAAATTTTTATCAATAAAACGAGATTTTATTAAATTTACAGGTTTTGCAGATTAACAGTAGGTATAAATTAAAATACCAAATAATGTGGTTTACTGTGCTACATGAATACTTGAAGTTTACACAAAATAAATTCGGGCGTTTAAATAAATTAATTAACGTATCGTATAAAAAACAGTCATAAGCATTGTACATAGTTTTAATATTAATTCAATTCATATCAAACATTTTGATGTATAAACAACAAATTCAGACATTCTATACGTTTAAATAAAAGTTAGGTTGTTCACACTTGCTTGGTTATCAGGTTATCTGGTTATGTGGTTATATTTTTTATTCAGTTTACAACAATAAAATACACTACAGAATAATAATTTTTAACCAGATAACCTGATAACCAAGCAAGTGTGAACAACCTAAGTATCAAAAATATTGTACACAAAACGTTTGTAAAAAAAACGTACCGAGTATATATATCTTTGAGATCAATTCAATTAATTTCAAACGTTTTTTTGTTCTTCGACAAAACAACAACAAAAAGGTTTTATACCCTATATTATATCAAAAACAAAAAGTTTTTATATCCCCTAATGGTATACAAAACGTTTGTAAAAAAATCATACATCTTTGAGATCTCTTTTTGCTGACCACATGTAATGTGCCTCAGCCTTTTGTACTAGTTCTTTACAGTGCATAATACTATTTATTGTACTGATTAGGGCTGTGCGATTAATTGATTACTCAAAATTTTAATTAATCATAAAGTAAATAACTCAATTATTCGATTAATTGGAAATTATGATTACTCAAAAGTTCAGTTACTCGAGTAACCAAGATTTTTGATTAACCAAAACCAAAAAAATTTGAGTAAAATGCTTTATGGTTAATCAACATTTCGAGTAAAATGAGTAATCAACATTTCAACTCTTTACATATGTATAAAGTAGTTAAAGTTCCTCGATACTTTGAAAACAACGTTTCTGTTTTCAAAAATTAAAACAAAAAATTTTTTTCATATACAAAATGTAAAAAAGAAAATAAGCATTTTCCAAAGCAAACTCTATTAACGAGCAAAATTATTTTTTTTGAGTAATCATATTTCAAGTAACTCGATTAATCATCGTTTTGAGTAATCGAAATCTTGATTACTCGAGTAATTGATTAACCGAATAATTGATTAACCAACTTGCTCGAGTAATCGAATAATCGCATAGCCCTAGTACTGATGTTTAGTTTATTTCTGAGTTTGGTTTTTGGGCGCAGGCGAGTTTTCATCACTACGAGAATTTTCAGTATTTGTTAATTGACACATATGTACATGCCTACTTAGTCGCAATTTTTTACCTGAACAAGTCGTCGTTATTATTGTCCACACTTACTTCGGACGGTTTAGAGGCTTTATAGATATACCTGCAAATAAACAACGATTAAAAAGTAACTAATTTAAAGCAAAATTAACTTACTTGTCCATCACTAATCTTTTCGCTTGTTTGTTAAATTCAATTGAAGAAAGGCGCGCAAATGCCAAGTTTTTGACATTTAACATCTTTATTTCACTCTTTCTCTTGTCATTATTTCCTTTGCTTGCTATGAATACAGGGTTACCATTCATAGATATTTTTAGAGTTACTATAAATAGTAGATAGCACTGGCAGTATGCAATCTTAAGCAAACAAATTTTATTGCTCAATTTGGTTGCAATTTCACTTTTGCCTACCAAAAGCTTCATCCTACCAACCAAACTACCAAAGGATAATGAGCCTACCAATTTTGGTCCAATTGGACCAAAACGGCAACGCTGATGTGTACTTTTGTGACAACTGAGCCAGTGTGGCATCAGGCCACCAGAAAAAGCCAATTTTTCCAAAACAAAAGCACCAAGTTTTTATTATCATTAATTAATTAATTAAAAATTTTTTTGATTCAGTAAAAAGTGTATATACATATCCATTTCCTCACGTTTTTATTAATAAATTAATTTCAATACATTTATAACAACGCAAAACATATTTAATTTACCTATTCCTCACATTTTATTCAGTAAATGAATTCCATCTTAATGTAGAATATTAGTGTATAGTGTATACATACATACATATGTACCTATGCATTCGGTGTGCTTAAATTAAAAAAGCAGCACTAAATACCGCACCAAGCATTGAATTCCAATTATTTTGGATTTTTGGTTTCCCAAAAGCACTAAATTTAGTGCAAAATGCACGACATTCGCAACAGTGAGCTGAGCACATCAATGCTCAAACAGTGATGCCAGACCAAGTATTGAGTAAATGCGCTATGTATATTTTTCTTTTAAAGCAAAAGTTCTAATTGGAGAGGGCATTGATTTTTGGTTCTTACATAGAACACTGATAAGATTCACAAACTTATCTTAGGACTTAATTAAAATAATCAACATTATTTGTAGACGAATATATTTGTGTTCGTATGAAATAGTAGCTTATGTCGGGAGGCTGGCTTTAGTAAAATGTACCATTTCCTATATTATTTAAACCACAAGGAATTTTTTTATGAAACTTTATTCGAATATTGACTTGCTAGCATCGCCATTAACATTACCGTCTTTTACGTTTATTTTCCAAGAGTTCTTCAACGACTCGGTGCCAGTGAGTCTATCGCAATCGTATGCGGCGAATGGTTCATTATACTAAAGCCAGTCTTCCGACATAAGCTACTATTCTATGCGAACACAGATATGTATACTTCCTAATAGGCTTGTAAAATGCCCAATACCCAAATCCCTCGCATGAGTTATTATCGGTAAAAAATTGGGTACGCTCAAATCTGGCATCGCTGCAGCAAGTACAGCGCCAGTGAAACAGTGTTGATATTTTAAGTGCAATTGTTCTTTTTTCAGTACAATTAATTTTAAAATGTACAAAAGTACAATTTGCCGATTTTAAGTACAATTTCAACATCAAAAATACTTTTTGTACCAAACGCTCAAATCTCTTCTAGCACTTTGATTCTTAATCCGTTTACATTTAAGTAAATGGATATACCTATATTTCATATTTGCTACAAAACGAAATTATGAATTATAATTTTGAATGTAAACGTGATTGTGAACAGTAATATTAGTGATGTGCGTTATGGTGATTGCGATTTCTTATCACCGGCGGGTGAAATATCCCTCATCGCTATTTATTTTGAAAAAATCTTTGGAAATGCAATTTACCTAATGGCGATC